ATGGCTATGTGCCTGGGGACCAGGTCTGGCAGCTCCGCTATGCCAGCCAGGAGCCAGAGGAGGCCAGGCAATGCCTGACACCACCAGACTCAGAGTCCTCAGGCCAGCTGTCAGCCCAGACTGTGGAGCAGGACCACAACCCTGGGGGTGTGGCAGACCCCAGCTTGGACCATACGCTGCCAGAGGCCAGTGAGGAGGCCAGTGCTGAGAGACAGGATGGCAGTGAGCTTCCCCAAGGGGATGACCTGGTTGGCAGCCCCAGTTCAGCAGAGGTAGATGAAGGCAGCTGCACACTACACCTAGAGGCCCTGGGAGTAGAGCTGGAACCTGTGGTCGAGCCACCTCTAGAAGAGATCACTGAAACAGCCCCTGTGGAATTCGGGCCCCAGAGACTGGAAGGGCCAGATGGGACTTTGACAGAGCTGTCTACCTTTGAAGGTGCTGGCACTTCTGGCTTGAGTGCTGAAGAAGAGCCCATTCTGGAAAAGCCAGTCCCTGAGCCCCCCAAAAATCCTCCTCCCTCAGAGGAATCCCCTAACAGCTGGGTGGGAACCTTCAAGGCAACTCCACCCACTGAGACAGCACTCCTGCCCCAGTTGCCTGAGTCAGAGTCATTACTCAAGGCCCTAAGGAGACAGGACAAAGAACAGGCAGAGGCACTGGTACTGGAGGGGCGGGTTCAGATGGTAGTGATACAGGGAGAAGGGCAGGCCTTCCGCTGCCCACACTGCCCTTTTATTACCCGGCGGGAGAAGGCCCTGAGTCTGCATTCCAGGACTGGGTGCCAGGGCCGCCAAGAGCCCCTGCTGTGCCCTGAGTGTGGGGCTAATTTCAAACAACAGCGTGGCCTTAGCACCCACCTGTTGAAAAAGTGCCCTGTTTTGTTCAAAAAGAACAAGGGATTGGCCAGAACAGATTCACCTATCCCTCTGCATCCTCTGCCCACTGGTACCCACACCTCAGAGGCTGCAGAAGGTGGGAACCCCCCACCTGCACCATTAGAAGTAGAGGTGGTGCTCCCAAAAGATGCTCCTGAGCTTCCTAGGGAACCAGAAGAAATAAAGGAGTCTCTGGCCATACTCTCTGGCTCCGCAGTACTTCCTGCAGGAAACTCCTCATCCCCAGAGGCCCCTGAGAAGTTCCACTTTGAACAGGGCAAGTTTCACTGCAACTCATGCTTGTTCCTTTGTTCTCGGCTCTCCTCCATTACCTCCCACGTGGCTGACGGCTGCCGGGGGGTACGAAGCGGAGCAGGAAAGCGAGGGGCCTCCCAGACCCAACCTATTGTGTCCCCACTGAGCATTGGGGACTCTATTCCCCTAAACAGTGGGAGTACTAAGTGTAGCCCTGGTGATGGGGACCCAGCTCTGGTTCCAAAGCAGAAGGGGGCTCGCTTTTCCTGCCCCACATGTCCCTTTAGCTGCCAGCAGGAGCGGGCTCTGAGGACTCACCAGACCAGGGGCTGCCCCCTCGAGCAATCTGGAGAGTTGCACTGTGGCCTCTGTTCCTTCACCACTCCTGTTGCCGCTGCCCTGAAGCTCCACCAAAAGCGGAGGCACCCCACTGTGGCCCCAGCCCGTGGCCCCCGCCCCCCTCTTCAGTGTGGCGACTGTGGCTTTGTCTGTAAACAGAGCAGGTGCTTGCAGCAGCACCAGCGGCTCAAGCACGAAGGAGTGAAGCCACATCAGTGCCCTTTCTGTGACTTTTCCACCACTAGACGGTACCGATTGGAGGCTCACCAGTCCCGACACACAGGTGTTGGCCGCATCCCCTGCAGTTCCTGTCCTCAGACATTTGGTACTAACTCAAAACTGCGCTTGCACCGGCTGAGGGTACACGACAAAACACCCACTCACTTCTGCCAATTCTGTGACTATAGTGGCTACCTTCGCCACGACATCGCTCGCCATGTGAACAGCTGCCACCAGGGCACCCTAGCCTTTGCCTGTCCCCAGTGTGAGGCTCAGTTCAGCTCTGAGACAGCACTCAAGCAACATGCTCTGCGCCGGCATCCCGAGCCTACCCCCCCAGCCCTGGGCTCCCCTGTGGAGGCCACTGAGGGCCCTCTGCATTGCTCCCGCTGTGGGTTCCTATCCTCCAGTCCTGCCAGACTGCAAGGGCACACCTGTAAACAGCACCCGCGGCTTGAGTGTGGGGCCTGCCAGCAGGCCTTTCCTAGCCGGCCAGCACTGGATGAGCACCGGAGGCAGCAGCATTTCAGCCACCGCTGCCAGCTCTGTGACTTTGCTGCCCGGGAGCGGGTGGGCCTGGTGAAGCACTACTTGGAACAGCATGAGGAGACTTCAGCAGCAGCCTCAGATGGGGATGCTGGCCAGCCCCCTCTGCGCTGCCCCTTTTGTGACTTCACATGCCGCCATCAGCTGGTGTTAGATCACCATGTGAAAGGGCATGGGGGCACCCGGCTCTACAAGTGTACTGACTGTACTTACAGCACCAAGAACCGGCAGAAGATCACCTGGCACAGCCGCATTCATACTGGGGAAAAGCCCTACCACTGTCATCTCTGTCCCTATGCCTGTGCTGACCCCTCTCGCCTCAAGGTAAGGCCAAGGACAAAGGGGGCTAGGAGTACAGTCTGTGGAGTTAAGTTGCCTGGGTTCTCTAAATCTGACTCTACCAAATATTATTTTTGTGACCTTTGTCAATTCCCTTAATTTCTCCAAGCCTTAGATTCCTCATCTGTAAAAATGGGATAATACTTCATAGAGTTGTTATAAAATTCTATAATACATGCTAGTCATGTGATAAAGGCATATAATAGGTTGGGGATAACCTAGATAATAACAGGTAACATTTATTGAGCACTTACTGTATGCTGGTCAATGTAATTTTAATCCTTGAAAAAATATGAGATAATAGTTACTTTTCCTATTTCTTATTTTACAGATTATTAAGCTGACAATTAGGGATTAGGTCACCCAAAGATGCAGGAAATAAAGTGGCAGAGCTGAGAGTCTGGGCAGATCTAGGAGTAGGCCCAGTGGGTGAGGTTGGTGTGAAAGTGGCCAGACTGGGGAACCTGGTTGGTAACAGGAGTATAGATAGGATGGGAGCAGGGAACAGGGTTGTCTGCCAACAGTCTTTCTGCCTCCTTCCCCTATTTCCTTATCCTTGAGTACCCACGTTTCCTGGGCATATTCTTTGCTCTTTCCTCCTTCAGTACCATATGCGGATTCATAAAGAGGAACGGAAGTATCTGTGCCCTGACTGTGGCTACAAGTGCAAGTGGGTCAACCAGCTCAAGTACCACATGACCAAGCACACAGGTGAGTCTGCATGGTTTTGACAAGCCCAATGGGTTCCCCCATTCCCTGGCACACACAGCCTCCCTGATTGGGTTCTTACTGATTCAGGCTGCACATTAGTTTTCACCTTGGGGGTGGTGGGTGGGTCAGATGGCTAGAATAGCTTCCCAATCCACTGAAGACTTATCAGAATCAGGAGAGAGGTGAGCCTGAGAGCCTGGGTATGTATACTTTTCAAAGGCTCCCTGGGTGATTGTGGTACCAGGTCACACATCTCCTGTTGAGAACCCCCCAACTCAAACATGAGTGACTAAGGGAGGTCTACCTGGTTCCTATAGACCTGATGAACTATCATGAGTAAAGAGGAGAAAGTGGGAAGGTTTTAACTTATCCTTTTTTCTCTTGGTTATGGAGTCCACAAACTACAGGTTCTCTGAAAAGGGTTAATGGTGACATGCCAATGCTTATTGGGTATGATCTCCTCATGTAAAGGAATTGAGCAGATTCATTTCAAGGCCCTCTGCATCTATGAATGCTGCTTTTTTCGCTTCTATCCCCTTCCCTCTTAACCATTTTTTTCTACTTCTTGAATTGAACAAGGAGTTGTATTTAAATGCATCCCCAACTTCCATGAGTACCTACTCCATGACCAAAAGGTTAGAATTTCCTATTTGGAAACCCTATCATATCTGAGTATCCATTGCTATCAGGTGGCTATTTACAGGTCCAGTTAATTATCAGCACTTATTGAGCATCCATTGTGTACAAGGGACTGTGTTGGGAGAAGGGCACAGAAATGTCAGACAAGACTGGAATATTCCAATGATATGGTATTAGCTTGCTGCTTGAGTTTTTTATGTCCCAGGATCACAGTGACTCTTATGGTTCACTGAACCCTGTTTCATCCCCTTCAACGGTGATTTGTTACCTATCTTTGCCATGTCCTATAGGACTGAAGCCATATCAGTGTCCCGAATGTGAGTACTGCACCAACCGAGCCGATGCCCTGCGGGTGCACCAGGAGACCAGGCACCGGGAAGCTCGGGCCTTCATGTGTGAGCAGTGTGGCAAGGCCTTCAAGACACGCTTCCTGCTGCGCACCCACCTCCGCAAGCACAGCGAGGCCAAACCCTATGTGTGTAACGTGTGCCATCGTGCTTTCCGCTGGGCTGCTGGCCTGCGCCATCATGCCCTCACCCACACCGACCGCCACCCCTTCTTCTGCCGTCTCTGCAGCTACAAAGCCAAACAGAAGTTCCAGGTTGTCAAGCATGTGCGCAGACACCACCCTGACCAGGCTGACCCAAACCAAGGTGTGGGCAAAGACCCCACCACCCCCACGGTGCACCTGCATGATGTGCAGTTGGAGGATCCCAGTCCTCCTGCTCTTTCTGCTCCCCCAACTGGACCTGAGGGCTGAGAGCCCATCCCACCTCCCAGACAAGAAGAAAGTGTGGTCCAAGATGTGCAGACTGGAACCAGAGCTAGCCTGAGAAGCTCAGAGAGTAAGGAAGGACTGGCTTCAGGACGTCAGGTTGGCTGGAACCCTCCTGGGACTCCGGCTATAGTACTTCGATGTTGATGGCTACATAAAAGAGAGATATGAACTATAGATTGATTTTTGTGTTGAGAACCACTGTGTTTTTAACCTGTGAGGTCTTAGTTTCTTCACCATTACTCTACCAAAGTCTCTGACTATAAGATACTGATTTCACCCATTCCATCTTCTCTTTGCTTCTTTTAAAACAATTGTACTGAACTGCATGTGCTGTTGTGCCTAACGCTCTGTAAAGCATGTTAAATAGAATGCTTACTAGCTTATAGACTCGTCCATCTCCCTGTTTTAACATTTTCAGTCTGTCATCTCGATCTACCCCAACTCCTCTTAGACCTCTGCCTCCTTTTCTCCTTCCATCTTCACTGAGTGATTGATTCTCAAACAGGCCCAAGTCTGCCTTCTCTCTGTTCTTGAGTCTGTCTTGGCCCTTGCTCTTCTCCCTATTTCTGAACAACTTTAACTACCTGTAGAGCAAGGGTGGGAAACCTTTTTTCTGCCAAGGGCAATTTGGATTATTTATAACATTTACAGGCCATACAAAATTATCAACTTAAAACTAGCCTGCTATATTTGGTCAAACATTTAATTAACTGACCCCTAATGCCTTGGCAGAGCAAGACCAAATGATTTTGTGAGCCTTATACTGACCATGGGCCAGACGTTCCCCACCCTTGCTGTAGAGGGAGGACTGCCACTCACTAAGCTTCCTCATGGAAACATCATTCCTCAGACTACACTAGAATTCAAGCATAAAGATAGTATGAAAGGCAAATGATTGCAGGGTTGGAGGTAAATCTCTAATGCAGAATTCTATAAATGTCTTACAGTGACTAATTAATCATCTAAACTAGGGCACACTAGGGAAATTAAAGAAGGTACTATTAATAATTGTGCTGGGACAGCAGTCATAAACCAGGACTGTTGCAGGCAAACTTTTCAGGAGGATTTGGATCACATAACCCTTTTTCTGCTCCTTTTGCCCTGACCCCTAGAAGCTGTACTTCTGTACCATTCTTATGTAGCACATGCAGAGGGACTCCTGGAAACTTTTGTTTTTCTGTCTACCCAAATGTCCCCCAACCCTCATTCTTCCCCTTATTGCCCAATAATGACAGATCATACTCAAGCCAAATTAGGGAGAGCAGCTCTATTAACACTGGTGGGACCAGGAAGGAGCAGACCAGTGTGGACTCAGAGCTGTGCAGTGTTTTCTTGAGAGTCACAGTACAGTCTTAGGGTCAGTTCTCTCCCCAGCCTTTGCTTGGGGAGGCTTGAGGCTTGGCTTTTCCTTTCCTTGGCTCTGGCTTTTGAGGAAGTTGTTGGGGAGGGGATAATGCCTCTGGGTTTCTTTGCCCCAAACCCCTCTGGATTTGTAGTTGCAATCTGCCTTGGAGCCAGAGTTGATAAGAGAGATTAGTCCTAGGTCTGGGTAGGGACTAAACCTACAGCAAAGGAAGGAAGGAACTCCAGGATAGAGTACGCAAAAGGGAAGGGCAGGAAAGGTAACCAAAAGTTTGTGAAAATGAAGAAAGGGAAGAGAAAGCAGGTGAAAAATCAGGCCCTAGATTTGCTTGTTAGGAAGGGTGAGGTAACTTTATGCTTAGGAACGCACAACCATGCTTGGTTTTCACCACCTCTGCTTTCTGGAGCATCCTTCCAGGGTTATCTTACCATCTGAGGCAAGTACACCCACCCTTCCCATGAAGTGTCCACCTTAAGATTCAACCTCCCTCAGCCCTTCCAGCATGCAGATGTGCACGAAGAGGGATGCTGGGTGGAGGCTGGTGCCATCCTTGGAGAGGAGGTGTATATGGCGGTAACCTGGAAAGGCATAGGAGGACAGCATTAGGAAGGCAGCCAGAGTAAGGGTTTGGCCAGGGGTGGAAGGACACGCTCACCTTGTTGCATGCAGGTCCAAGGCAAGGTGTACTGACCGATAAAGTCATTTCGGGATGTCCAGTTGTAATCCTTTACCAAAAAACGCAGCATGGCCAGCTCAGGTACCAGCAACTGGAAGCATAGTGTCTGCCCCCAGTACGGATTAAAACCTGGGTGGAAGAGGGGTGAATGTGGGAGGGAATGAAGGAACAGACATTGTTGACTTTTGGGGGAGACCTGCATTCTGGGTTACTTTCTCTGTGTGCTTTCACTTAATTTTCATAGCAATCAGGTGAGGAAATTGAGGCTCTGAGTGGGTAAGCAATTTGCTCTGGTTACTAGACCTTATAATTGAGAGGCCAGGATTCAGACGGAAGATGTCCAAGCCCTGATTCTTTGTCCTGTTCCACACTGCCTCCCAAGGAGGTGGGAACAGGATGGTGGTGACATGGAGTATACTGAATGAAGGGCAGGAAGTTAGGAAAGTAACAGTCATGCTCCTCCCACCTCCCCCCAGCACTGCCCAGTCTCACCATTATTCTCCACATAGCTGGTCTCCTGCCGGGTTGTGTCTGGGCGAACACCAAAGATTTCCACTCTCACCAGTGGATCCACAATGGATCCCTCTTTGGTCTTGTCCACTTTGGGGAGTTGTTGACCACTGATCACCTGCAATAGTTTCTGCTCAACCAGCCCCATTCCAGCTCTCACCCCAGGGGAAGGGGGAAAACTAAGGGAAGAAAGAAATGCAGGACTTTGTGCTCTAGCTTTGGGTTTGCAAAGCCAATCCTCCATGGGTAATAGATTTTCTTCTAGTAATCTATGTGCAATTTAAAATGCATCCAAGTAGAAGTTGAACAAGGTTTGAAAGGTATGTTAGTGACAGCAACCCCTTCTATAGCATTTGCTGTGCACCAAGCATAGTTGTAAGCACTTCGTTTTAACTAATCACCACAACCCTGTGAGGTAGCTAGTAGTATTACCCCTATTTTGCAGGTGAGGAAACTAAGGTTAAGAAACTTGCCCAGGCCCTGACCAGTTTGGCTCAGTGGCTAGAGCATCGGCCTGTGGACTGAAGGGTCCCAGGTTCAATTCCAGTCAAGGGCATGTACCTTGGTTGCGGGCACATCCCCAGTAGGGGGTGTGCAGGAGGCAGCTGATGGATGTTTCTCTCTCATGGATGTTTCTAACTCTCTATCCCTCTCCCTTCCTCTGTAAAAAATCAATAAAATATATTTTTTTAAAAAAGAAAGAAACTTGCCCAACAGTTTCACAGCTAGTAGGGTTTGAACTAGGCAATTGGCTCCAAAGTCCATGCTGTTAACAATCAGGCTAGTCTGCATCTCACAAGGAACTTTCCACCCATTACACTCCTGTCAGGCCTAGCCACCTTTTCCCCCTGCTTCTATCCCAGCTATCCCAAATTTCTTCCCAGCATTTTCACTTCCCATTATACCTGGATTTGGAGGGTCTGGGCTTTGAAAGGGCTGATGGGCCTCTCCGGGTGGAAGGAGCTCTGGGTATCACGAAGGAAGTCTGGCTTCAGCACGTAGCCACAGCCACCATTCTGGCGGAAAAGGCCATCATAGATGTCCATCTCAAGCCCCGCAGTCTGCACATTCATAGCCACTGAGGGCCCCAGAAGAAAAGAAGGGAAGAATTCACCTTGGAGGCCATCTAGCCTCTCAGGGAGTTATAAAAGATATATTCAGTATAAAAGAGCCTGTTGGGAATACCTCCATAGATATCTTTCTCAGCCTAGCACTCTTGGAACATTCCCTGGACCTACAGCCACCCAGGATCTTGTTGCCAACTTGTTGCTCTCCCACTCCCCCTTCACTGGGCCTACTGCCCCCTCACCCATCTGGCAGCCTGCATTCCAGAATTCCTGGGGGTTGTAGTTAGATGAATCTGTCCTCAGACCACTAGGATACACACGGCTCAACTGCCAGGCGTTATGCTGCACAAACTGATTGCCTGTAAAAAGGGTGTAGGTAGAGAGTTGGAAGTGGAATGGATTCTCCCCCTCCCCTGGTCCCACCAACTTCAGTCTTCTCCCCAGCTTCTCCCTAGAGCTTTGAGTCCACTATAACTCCTGTCCCCATGCCTACTCTGAGAAGTTTCTTAGCTCCCTGATCCCTCCTCAGCTCCCTTGTCTTCTTGGAACTCATCTGCTTGCCCATCAGGCCTGACCTTACTCATCCCATTTCTTCCCTGTCCCTCCCTTTTGGTCCTGACCAGTCTCCTTGATGAGGTTCTTGGCCTTTGTTTCAGAGAAAGATGATAACTCATAGAAGCGGTAGTGCTCCCTCGAATGAGTGAAGTTATAGAATGAAACAGTCTTTGTATAGATAACCAGGGCAGAGAGGGATGGACACAAGATGGCCTTGGATTTCTGGAAAAGGAGAAAGAAAGGATGATGGAATCAAACCATTAGCAATCTGAGAGGGAAGAAGCCAATAACCAAGATCTGAACTTCCCCACCCAACCTAAGCCTCTGCCCACTACTTCCCCACTGCATTATCCCTCCTGCCTCACCTGCTTGAAAAAGAGAGGGAACCCAGGCTTGGGAAGAGGAGCCTGGACCGTAATCTGACAACAGATAGATGAACAAAGCAGCGGACACATCACAACCTGGGGATGGGAATGGGAATAAAAGCAGTCTACATATACTGATGGGATTAGTTTCCTCTGGACTTGAAGAATCTGTTCTATATTACTTTCTGGGTAACAGGTTTTAAATTTTATTATTATTCTTAAACAGGTATCATCCTCCCTGTCTTTTGTCTTTTAAAACAATTATTCTTGGTCAGAATGTACATGAACCCAGATAGATATGTCAAGGTGTGCAAATGGTCATGTAAGTCACATCTGGGAGGATGTGAGGGTACCAGAGTACTACCTTTAGATTTATCTCCTGAATTCCCATTTCCATCCCTGGGCATAGCAGCAGGTTAGACACCAGAGCCCCAGAGGGAATAGTATAAGCTAGGAGTCAGTCGCTGAGCCAAGCAAGTGCACAGAAGAAATGCAGACTTCAAACCAGGATTTTGACGGTCCCACAAATGATACTCCTCCCCCATAGGGAGCTGGGCCACTCAGGTACAGCCTTCTCACAGTCTTCACTGTCTCTACCTCTTCCTGCTCCTTCTCTTTGGCTATTTTTGGCCCTACCTCAGATTCACCTTTTCCAATAGCTTTCTCTAACTAAGCTCACTTTAGTTGAGGTCACAGCAGTCACTCCAAAAAGCCCTACTTACTCAATATTATAATGCTGCACACACACCCATCAGTCACTTTCAAACTTGCCTCTGAGGAGACTGAGAAGTACAACGATGTCTCAGGAGTTACCTGGGAGACCCAGGATAGAGCCAAATGGGCATATCAATTAGGATGGCTCTGCATTTATCTATTTTATGTACTAAGATTCCAGATAAGATTTCATTAAAAAAGATTTCATGGCCCTAGCTCAGTGGCGGCAAACTGCGGCTTGCGAGCCACATGTGGCTCTTTGGCCCCTTGAGTGTGGCTCTTCTACAAAGTACCACCTGCAGACACACACGTACAGTGTGATTGAAACTTCGTGGCCCATGCGCAGAAGTCAGTATTTTGTGGAAGAGCCACACTCAAGGGGCCAGAGAGCCACATGTGGCTCGCAAGCCGCAGTTTGCCGACCACTGCCTTAGCTGGTTTGGCTCAATGGATAGAGCATTGACCTGAAGACTGAAGGTCCAGGTTCTATTCCAGTCAAGGGCACATGCCCAGATTGTGAGCTCAATCCCCAGTAGGGGGCGTGCAGGAGGCAGCCAATCAATGATTCTCAACATTGATGTTTCTATCTATCTCCCTTTCTCTCTGAAATCAATAAAAATATATTTAAAAAAAAAAAAAGATTTCATGGCCCACAGAAGTTGGACAGCCATTGCAATATATCTACTAGTATATATGGCAATATATACTGATGCCAAGTATGCCTCTTTCATTGGGGGCAAGGGGCATTTTGCTCCTTGGCTCTCTACCCTCCTGACTCTAGTCTCTTCACACATGGACTCCCAGCTTGTGATAGTCAAACCAAATGCCAGAGCAAAGACCAATCCCCTGGCCTACCTTCTCATTTTTGTCCTTGCTGCGAGGGCTCAGCTCCTGGGTCTCAGACTCAAACTGGGATTCCAGCTCAGGCTCCTGCTCCCCTTCTAGTTCAGTCTCTAGCTCTTCCTCTTCTTCAAGATCCTCCTCAAGTGTACTTAACTTCTTCCCCTTCACCAGGATCTTCTTCTGAAGCTCCTAGGGGACAAAAATGAAGGGGCTTGGCTACCTGTCTGCTTTGGGACCCTTCTGGAGACTATGCAGATCCTATTATTCTCACAGGGCCACGTCAAAGGCAACAGAAGTGAGTGAGTGAGTAGTCAGAAGTTCCCACAGGAAGGCTGCTTGATACATACAGTAGGAATTTGTATTGGTTTTTTTTTTTTTAAATATATTGTATTGATTTTTCACAGAGAGGAAGGGAGAGGAATAGAGAGTCAGAAACATGGATGAGAGAGAAACATTGATCAGCTGCCTCCCACACACCCCCCACTGGGGATGTGCCCGAAACCAAGGTACATGCCCTTAACCAGAATCGAACCCAGGACCCCTCAGTCCACAGGCTGACGCTCTATCCACCGATCCAAACCGGCTAGGGCGGAATTTGTATTGTTAAAAGCAAACTGGTAACATCTCTATCCATGTGGAAAAAATAAATGGGGGCCCTATCTGGTTTGACTCAGTGGAGAGAGTGTTAGCCTGAAGACTGAAGGGTCCCAGGTTCAATTCTGGTCAAGGGCCTTGATTGGGGCTCATGTGGGAGACAACCAATCTCACATTGATGTTTCTCTCTCTCTGTCTCTTTCCCTCCCTTCCACTCTCTCTAAAAATCAATGGAGCCCTAGCCGGTTTGGCTCAGTAGATAGAGCGCTGGCTTGTGGACTGAAGGGTCCTGGGTTTGATTCCAGTCTAGGGCGTGTACTTCGGTTGCAGGCTCCTCCCTGGCCCAGGCCCTGGTCGGGGCATGTGCAGGAGGCAACCAATCATGTTTCTCTCAGAGCAATATTGCTCTCTGTCTTTCCCTCTCTCATTCTCTCTAAAAATCAATGGAAAAATATCCTCGGGTGAGGATTAACAATAAATAAATAAATAAAGAGATAAATATCCCTGCCTCACATTTGACACATAAAGATTCCTCATTGATTGAAGATTTACATGAAAATATAAAGAATATTACAAAAAAATATGGAATCTTTTTGAATAATCTTAAGGTGGGAAAGCCTTTACAATATGAGATGAAAACTCAGAAGACATAAAAATCATTGGCATCTTTGACTGCATAAAGCTTAAAAACCCCTGTGAGGCAGAAGGTAAGAAAAATAGATTGAAAAATATATTGTCCAGAGCATTAATATTTTTTCTTTCAAAATTATTTTATTTTTTTATTTATTGTCTAAAGTTTTACATGTCTCCTTTTTCCCTGATTGACCCCCCCCCAGCCATTCCCACACCAATATTTTTAACATTTAAAAATTTTTATCCTATATAATAAAAGGCTAATATGAAATTGGCCGAACAGTGAAACAACCGGTCACTATGATGCACACTGACCACCAGGGGGCAGATGCTCAATGCAGGAGTTGCCCCCTGGTGGTCAGTGTGCTCCCACAGGGGGAGCACCGCTCAGCCAGAGCACAGTGGCGGTGGCAGGAGCCTCTCCAGCCTCTGACGCAGTGTTAAGGATGTCCGACTGATGGCTTAGGCCTGCTTGTGGGGAGCGGGCCTAAGCCATCAGTCAGACATCCCCCCAGGGCTCCTGGACTACGGACTACGAAAGAGTGCAGGCTGGGCTGAGGGACGCCCCCCCAACACACACACCCACAGTGCACAAATTTCGTGCACTGGGCCTCTAGTATGTTAATAAAACTTATAAACCTTCAAAGTGGGTAAATAATATTAAGTCAAAAAAAAATAGACCTTTTTAAATTTTTATTCACACTTGCCTTTATGAATCATCTCACTACTGGAGTTATTTGTAGTCCCTCTCTTATATTGTTAGTGGGAATGCAATTTGGTATTTTTTCCAGAGGACTCCTTGGCAATAATAACCAAAATGTCAATATGCAAACTCTTCAACCCAGAAATTTTGCTTCTAGGAATTCATCTCAAGGAAAGAATAAGTGGGCAAAGCTGTACGTACAAGTGAAAAATTATAAACAGCCTAAATATTGATCACTTAGTGGTTACCTTTACTATCTACTAGTTGAATAAATTATGATCCATACATAAAATGGAATACCATAGAGCTGTTAAAAAGGAAAAACATTATATATGAAAAGACATCCATGATATATATTACTAGGTGTACCAGTTAATAATGTGGATTTTTTTCAATAGATAGAGTTACACATATGTTGATATATATGCAATATGATATGTATGCTATTTTGTTGTATTGACAACAAGCTTCAAAACTTCATATGTAAAATTTTCTGAAGGTGTTAACATCATAGATATTTTTATGCTTAAAAATGTTGAATTTTGTGCCCCAGAAAAGAGCATTTGCGGGAAGTTTTAATTCATTACTTTATTTTGAAAAGTGCTGTTGAAAGTTATCGTATACTTCGGGAAGCTTATGGTGAACATGCTCTATCTCAAGATACTTGTGAACACTGGTTTAAACGCTTTAAAAGTGATGATTTTGATGTGAAAGACAAAGAATATCCAGGTCAACCGAAAAAGTTTGAAGACCAACAATTACAAGTATTATTGGATGAAGATGCATGTCAAATGCAAAAACAACTTGCAGAAAGATTAAACGTTGCTCAGCAAACAATTGCCTATCATTTACAAGCAATGGGAAAGATTTTGAAGGAAGGAAAATTGGTGCCACATCAACTGAACGAAAGACAAATGGAAAACCAAAAAGTCATCAGTAAAATGTTGCTTCAATGGCACTCAAGAAAGTCTTTTTTGCATCGAACTGTGACTGGCAATGAAAAGTGGACTTATTTTGAGAATCCCAAACGCACAAAATCATGGGTTGATACAGGTCAACCATCAATCAACATCAACCGCGTGGCCAAATCGCTTTGGAAAGAAGACAATGCTCTGCGTTTGGTGGGATCAGGAAGGTGTGGTGTATTATGAGCTTCTAAAACCAGGGGAAACCGTTAATACTGATCACTACAGACAACAAATAATCAATTTGAACCACGCTTTGACAGTGAAACGACCAGAATATGCCAGAAAACACGGCAAAGTAATTTTGCTTCATGATAACGAACCATCACACACTTCAAAACCAGTTAAAAACATGTTAAAAGATCTTGCCTGGGAAGTATTAACCCACCCACCAGACCTCGCTCCTTCAGATTACCACTTGTTCTGATCGATGGCACCCGCACTTTCTGAGCAGCACTTCAAGTGGAAAATTGGGTCTCTGAATGGTTTGCCTCAGAACAAGAAAAGTTCTATTGGGACAGTATCCACAAATTACCTGAAAGATGGGGGAAATGGACAAAGCAATGGACATTACTTTGAATAAAGCACTTTAATATATATATATATTATTTATATATATATATTATTGATTTTTTTTTTACAGAGAGGGAGAGGGATAGAGAGTTAGAAACATCAATGAGAGAGAAACATCAATCAGCTGCCTCCCACACATCCCCAACCAAGGTACATGCCCACAACCAAGGTACATGCCCACAACCAAGGTACATGCCCTTGACCAGAATCAAACCTGGGACCCTTCAGTCTTCAGGCCAACACTCTATCCATTGAGCCAAACCAGTTAGGGCTGAATAAAGCACTTTTGATGTTTCTCCTGAAATTATCGTGTTTTCTTTGATTACAAAATCCACATTATTAATTGGTACACCTAGTATATGTGTATAAAGGAATATAGAGGATAATTCCCATTCACTTTTTTACAGGTGAAGTACAATATTATATTATTATTCACTTTTTAAAAATATGAATACACACACACATATATATATACACACACATATGTGTTTATAGAACTATTTAAAATCTATTAATAGCAGTTATTAGGAAAGTCATTATGGTGGGGGGATTTCCCTTTCTCTTTATTATTGGCATAGTCTACAACAATTATGAACTTGCAGGAAAAATTAAGATACTCTCAATGAAAAACTAAATATAAAGTAAAACTGATTTAAAATTTAGAGAACTCTGTGTTCAATTAGATTTTTTAAAAATTAAAGTTGTCTCCAAGGATATGAAGAGCAAAATGGTCCATCTGAGGGTGAGAAGGCACCAACATGGAGGAAGGAGCCAAAGCGGGGGGGACACGGAAGCCACAGAAGAGTTTGGGCTGGGGGAGCAGGGCCCCTACCTCAGGTGAGGGCAGCTGAGTGGGCAACTGCCCATCCAAGGTGGTGCTCAGCAGCTGATCCCCCAGGATCTCGGTCAGATGGTGTGCTATGATCTCCTGCTGTTCCCAGCTGCAGTGGTTCTCCAGAGACAAGATGACTGGATAGTCTGATGTCTGAAGGGAGGGAAGAGGACTCTGAAGCCAGAGTTCTAACACTTATAACCTCCTTGCTTCTCCAGACTCACCTAGTTGCTCACTCAACTGAGTACCCTGATTGCTAAACTCCTCCAACCCCATTCCAGGCCTCAAGGAGGTCTTGCTGGATCTGAAGCCCACCTCACATCTAAAAGTCACTCTTGGTGCAGCCATTGTGCAAAGCAGTATGGAGTTATCTCAAAAAATTAGAAGTGGAACTGCCTTACGACTCAGCAATTCCATTTATGGGACTATAACCAAAGAAACCCGAAACACTGATCAAAAGAATATATGCACCCCTTTGTTCATTGCAGCATTATTTACAATAGCCAAGATTTGGAAGCAGCTCAAGTATACATCAGTAGATGAGACCATAAAAAAGCTGTGGTACATTTACACAATGGAATAATACTTGGTTGTATAAAAGAAGAAAATCTTATCCTTTGCAATAGCATGGATAGGCTTGAAGAGCATTATGCTAAATGAAATAAGCCAGTCAGAGAAAGACAATACTATATTATTTCACTCACATATGGAATCCAATGAACAAAATAAAACTAACAAAATAGAAACAGGTTCATAGATAGAAAACAGACTGACAACTGTCAGAGGGGAGGGGGGTTGGGAAACTGGATGAAAAAGGTGAAGGTATTAAGCAAAAAAGAAAAAAACACCTCATAGACACAGACAACAGTATGATGATTACCAGAGAGAAAGGGGAGTTGGGGGAGGTAGAGGAGGGTATAGGGGGATAAATGGTGATGGAAGGAGACTTGACTTAGGGTGGTGAGTGCACAACACAATGTACTGTAGAACTGTACACCTGAAACCTATATAATTTTATTAACAAATGTCTCCCAATAAATTCAATTAAAAATTAAAAAATTAAGGGACAATTAAATGATGAGCATAATAAAAATTTTAAGTGTAAAAAATAATCCTATATAATAAAAGGATAATATGCAAATTGACCCTAATGGCAGAACAACCAGGACGACCACTCGACCAGTCACTATGAGGCACACTGACCACCTCTCAGTCCCTTTCCCTGGCCGGCAGGCTTCGATCACACAATGGTGAATGGGGAACCGGGGGTGGGTGTCAGGGGATGCAGGTGGCGCCAGGCCAAGGCCCTGTCCCCACCAATCATCTCACACACACAGAGGGTGACCCACGGTAGGGCGGGCCGGCAAGCAGGCGGAAACGGCCAACCTCTCGGTCCCTTCCCCCAGCTGTCGGGCTCTGATCACCCGATGGCAAACACGGAAATGGGGGTGGGTGGCAGTGGGGGGTGGGGCCAGCTGCAGGCAGCCAGGGAAGGTGGCCCTGATTGCAGGCCAGGCCTAGGGACCGTACCGGCACACGAATTTTGGGCGCTGGGCCTCTAGTAAATAAATAAAAGTCACTTTTGGGCCAGGCCTGCATGGCTCAGTGGTTGAGCATTGACTTATGAACCAGGAGGTCATGGTTCAATTCCCAGTCAGGGCACATGACCAGGTTGCAGGCTTGATTCCTAGTGTGGGGCATGCAGGAGGCAGCTGATCAATGATTCTCTCCCATCATTGATGTTTCTATTTCTCCCTCACCTTTCTTCTCTGAAATCAATATATATAGATAAGATCTTATATATCTTATCTTTTATATATATATTAAAAGATGGAAAAACCAATTTAAAAAAAAACACAAGTCATTCTTGGGACCCCAAATCTCAGACAAGTGCCAGATCCAACACATATTCCTTTGGGATATTAGGGTTTTCAGGCTCAGGGTGGGTAGGCCAGGCCACTCCCCTTGTTACATGCTCATGTTACACTCTCAGGCTTTAATCTCCAGGTTCCTATCATCCCCCAGTCCTACTCACTGCTTTGTCTATTTCCTTATCCACAGCCTCACTCAGATAGGTAATGAAGTTGTTAGAAATGATTAATCTCTAGTAATTACCTCTATGACAACTAAGTACTAGTAACACAGCTAACACTTACTCATAATAACCCCTTAATATTTGCCTGATGCTGCCCTGGCTGGGTAGCTCAGTTGGTTAGAGTGTCGTCCCAGTATACCAAAGTTGTGGGTCTGATCCCAGGTCAGGGCACATACAAGAATCAACCAATGGCCCTAACCGGTTTGGCTCAATGGATAGAGCGTTGGCCTGTGGACTCAAGAGTCCCAGGTTCGATTCCAGTCAAGGGCATGTACCTTGGTTGCGGGTACATACCCAGTAGGGAGTGTGCAGGAGGCAGCTGGTCAATGTTTCTAATTCTCTATCCCTCTCCCTTCCTCTCTGTAAAAACTCAATAAAATAAAATTAAAAAAAAGAATCAACCAATGAATGAATGGATAAATAAGTGAAACAAAAAATAGATGTCTCTCTTCTCTGGTAGTTGAATGCAAGGGGGATGGTAGAATAAATGTAATAGATGTATACTGGGTCCTGCACTGGGAATAGAAGGTTCTATTTCTTAACCCTGTGACATTCCTCTTCTATGTGGTTTTCTGAAATGACTAGAGGCCCGATGCACGAAATTCGTGCAAAAGTAGGCCTTCCTTCCCCCAGCTGCCGGTACCAGGGCTTCTCTCTGGCACCCGGGACCCGGGCTTTCCTTGCAGCCCCAGTTTCGTCCGGAAGGACGTCCAGTCTAGTTAGCATATTACACTTTTATTTTTATAGATTGTTTCAGGCCCCTTTCTTCTCTGAGCACCCACTCTCTAAAATCAATAAATTTTTAATATATGCCTGATCCTTCATGGTTAAAATCTCTTTTACCAAATGCCATTTGATCTAACCTCCCCTTGTCCCTTTACCCTCTCCAGCCCCAGCCCCAGACCCAGCCCCAGCCACTTTTTCCTCAGATCCTCTTGCCTCACAGTATTTCCATCCTGGGGCTCCTACCTGGAAGGCATACTGTGCTAGAGTGGCCACGACTTCTTTGAACAGGATACGGGAGGTCAGGGTATGTCCATGGTAAACAACAGGCTCCCCACTGGGTCCATCCCATACATCCACCTCCACACAGCGGCACCCCCGCTTCAGGGCCCTGCAAGAACCCCAAGCCCCCAGGTATAGGAGAGGTCAAGGTCTGGTCTTTCACCTAGGGACCTTCTTCCCACTATGGAGAGAACAGTGCACTTACCTCTTAAGATCCCTGTTCAAGTTACATCTCCACAGACCATTCCACTGGAACACTGCTGTAGCTCACACTGATCTCCAACACCTCCCCTCACTCCCAACCAACTCACAATCTTTCCTTAGTAAGTCATCATATACTGCCTCATGATGCTCTGATGTTCTGGTTGTATTTCATTATACAACACCTGAGTTATTTATTTTCTCTATTGGACTTCCTAGGACAGAAACTATATGTTCCGTTCATCTTTGTATCCCCTGAAGCTACTAGATCAGTAGTAAGTGCAAAGATATATTGACTTTCTATCTAATGCATGATTGGTCACAATAAAAGTAGTTACCATTTATTAGGTATTGACACAGATTATATCATTGAATCCTCACAACAACCTAGACAGAATAGACATTGTTATCATTTCTGTTTCACAAATGGGGAAAGTGAGGCATAGGGAGGTGAAATATTTAGCTCCAGAGTAACAGTGAGATAGTTAGGATTTGACTTCAAATGGTCTGACTCCAGAACCTATGTTTTTAGCTCCTATGCTCTACTGCAAGCATGTCAAACTCACGGCCAGAGGGCCGCATGTTCAATAAACGAGGTGTGCGGCCCACCAGCTGTGAGTATGACATGCTTGTACTGCCTTCCATTTAACATTTAGTTTACTTATTTATTTAAAATAAATCTGTCAGGGCCTGAGTTCAAAAAGAGTTTCATAGCTTATGAAAGAGACAAGCTCCATTTACCCATAGGTTTTAATGCCACTCTCCCACCAGTCTTCAGTATCTCCTCCAAGTCTCTCAGGTATTCAAGGATCCTCAGCCCCCAAACTCACCGCCCCCCCCCCAACAACATATTTTTGATTCCTGTTACCATTAACAGTGTCCTAAATTTCCCACAGATGTTCCCTTCTCATGAGCTTGATTCCTCCCCCCTTCCTCCCCACTGCACCGTATATATCCCTCGACGCTGCTCTGGCCACAAAGCTGGTCCCCCACCAGGTAGGTGTTGTGAGAGGAATTGATGTAGTAGTGGTTCAGGGGTTGAGTCATATCCTGGTAGATGGGGAGGCAGGAAGGATTGAAGATGTCTCCGTCCTTTGAGTAGAGGTAATTGAGGAAGCCATCCATGCTCAGCACATGCCGCAGCTTGCCTGAGATGTGGAGTAGGGGAACACTAGAATGACAGAACTCTGAATGGGAGCACCCCAGCACACCCACAGCCAGTCCACCCTACACCTCTCCAGGGTCCTGCCTGTCAGATGGTGTCCACTCCCAGCCTCCAGACCCCAAATTTGACCCCGTCCAGTTTCTGTCATTTCAATCATAACCACCCTCAGAGAATGTTAAAGCTACAAGGGGAATCATTACAAACATTCTAGTTCGATGCTGTCCAATAGAACTTTTTACAATGATGGAAACTGCACTGTTCAATATGATAGCCTAGACACATAAGGCTACTGAGCACTTAAAATGTAGCTGTGTAACTGAGGAACTGAATTTTTAAATATATGTTTTTATTTTTTGAGAGAGAGAAGGGGAGGGAGAGGAGGGGGGGAGAGAGAGGAAAAAAAAAGAGAGAGAAACATCGTTCATTTGCCTCCTGCATGCCCTTGCTGAGGATCAAGCCCTCAACCTGGGCATGTGCCCTGCCTGACTAGGAATCGAACCAGCAAACTTTTTAAAATTTATCCTCACCCAAGGATATTTTTTCCATTGAATTTTAGAGAGAGTGAAAGGGAGGGAGGAGGAAGAGAAGAGAGAGAGAGAAACATCAATGTGAGAGAGACACATAGACTGGATGTCTTCTGCATGCACCCCAACTAGGAATAGGGTGCAAACCCACAACGGAGATACATGCCCTTGACTGGGAATCAAACCCAAGACCCTTCAATCCTCAGCTGATGCTCTAACCAATGAGCAATCTGGCCAGGAAAGAACCAGCAACCTTTTGGTGCAAGGGAGGACACTCAACCAACTGAGCCATACCCGCCAGGACAGGAACTGAATTTAAAATTTTGATTTTAGTTCATTTAAATTTAAACAGTCATAAGGTGCTCATGGCTACCATAATGGGCAGCACAATATTCATTTTGAAGGGGTAATTTTATAGATAGGGAAACTGAGGCCCAGAGAAAATCAAAGTCAAAGGCTTGTTAGCAACACAACCAAGGTATCTTTGTTTTATTCCCTGGGCTGTGTAGCTGCTGCCAACTATGATCTAAGGTTTATTTTTTTCCCTATTGTCAATTCCCACATGGTGTTTTGCCTTGGACCACTCTTTCTTCAAGGGCCAGGTCCTGCCACCCTTTCATAGCCCTCACCCATTTCAGCATGGGCTTCTATATTTACAACAATGACTAACAGTTATTGAGCACTTGCTCTATACAAAGGATGTTACATTCAACATCCCTCTTAATGCTCTCACCAACATGATGAGGTAGATGTAATATAATCTGTCTTGAGAGGTTGGGTAACTCATCTCATGTACATAACCAGTAAGTGTAGGGACTTGAACCCAGACAGCCAGGTGTCAGAGCCATACCCTATACCACTGGGCTGTGCAGTTTCACTGAAGGAAACATTGCTGTAGGGGGGCTCCCTTGGAAGGCAGACTAATTAGATTCTTATGCCCAGCTTCTTGTTCCAGATTTGATAAGGCCTGAAGATGCTGGAGAATGGCAGCAACTTTCATTCTTTATAGTAATACATCAGATCAACAGGTTAAGTCCACACCTTCCAGGTACTTTCATATGCATTATTACATTTGATCACCAATTATTTTAAAAATGAGAAAATCGAGTCTCAGATTAAGCAACTTGACCAAGGTTACTCAGTAAGAAGCAGAGTGGAAACTTGAGCCCAGGTCTCTTGACTTATACTACCCGGCAGGCAGAGTATAGCATCTGATAGTTGAGTGCAAAGGGAGGGTAGAATAAATGTAATGGATGTAATAAATGTAATAGAAGATCCATTTCTTAACTCTGTGACATTCGTCTTCTATGTGGTTTTCTGAAATGATTGCTTTCAGTCCCCTTTCTTCTCTGAGTACCCACATGAATCAACACTTTCTATTTGACTCTAAGTTCCATGAATACATTGCCCTTGTCTTGACCTACTACTGTATCTCTGGTGCCTAGCACATAAGTCCTGCCACATTTAGGTATTCAATAAGCACTAGCAGAAGTATAGTGTGAGTGAATGAATGAATGGAAGGAAGGAAGGAAGGAAGGAAGGAAGGAAGGAAGGAAGGAAGGAAGGAAGGAAGGGGGAATTGAGACTTAGGAAACCTGGGTCACTTGTCCAGCTCTCATTCATCTCATCTCTAATCCTTATTCTCAAGAAAGGCACCAAGTAAGAATCAAATGACCTGGATTTGAATTCCAATTCCTCCTCTCATTAGCTGTTGGCTTTCAGCAAGTAATTTAATTGTTCTAAACCTCAGTTTTTCTCTCTTGCACAACTGACTCAATAATAAAAACTATTTCAACAGGTCATTGTAAGGATTAGAAGAGAAAAGGCATGTAGAGATATTGGCACATTATGGAATACTTGGCAAACCCCCAATCTTGATTTACAAGATCGTAGTAAGAACTAAATGAAGTAAGGCATGTGAAAGTGCCTTGTAAATAATTTCTACATATATAAAAGGCTAATATGCAGTGTCCCCTCGGGAGTTCACCTGGGAGACCAGGAGTTCGATCGCGCACTATGACGTGCGCTGACCACTAGGGGGTGGTGTGGAACATGGGGGGCAACCAGCAGCAGCTGGGGCGTTGAGGGAGCAAGGGAAGGAGGAGGTGGGGAGGTGAGGAACCTGATCAGTCCTGATTACCAGCCAGGACTAGGGAACCTACCCATCCATGAATTTTGTGCACCAGGCCTGTAGTCTAATCTAATAAAAGAGAAACATGCAAATTGACCGCACCTCCACCACGCCCACCAGCCATGCCCACCAGCCAATCAGGAGGGAATATGCAAATTAACTCAACTAAGATGGCAGCGGCCACAGAGCTGGAGTGAGCAGGAGGTTTGGGTTGCCCCCAGCAATGGAGGAAGCCAAGCTTCCCACCTGCCCTGCCGGCCCTGAGCTCCGCTCAAGGCTATAAAGTTTCAATTATAGAAGATAAATAAATCCCAGATACTTGCTTCCAGCCCGTGGCCATGGCCAGCCTGAAAACGGCCCTCAGCCCCTCATCCAGGCTGGCCACACCCCCATGGGGTGACGGTCCCCACTGGGGGGCTTGGCCAACCTGCAAACAGCCATCAGCCCCTCGTCCAGGCTGGCCAGGCACCTCAGCAGGACCCCCACACCCTGAAGGTGGTGTGGCCAGTCTGAAAACAGCCCTCAGCCCCTCACCCAGGCTGGCCAAACCCCCATGGGGTGAGGGTCCCCACTGGGGGCCTTGGCCAGCCTGCAAACAGCCATCAGCCCCTCACCCAGGCTGGCCAGGCACCCCAGTGGGACTCCTATCCTGATCCGGGACACCCTTCAGGGCAAACCAGCTGGCCACCACCCATGCACCAGGCCTCTATCCTATATAATAAAAAGGTAACATGTAAATTGACCCTAACAGCAGAACGACTGGGAATGACTGGTCACTATGACACACACTGACCACCAGGGGGAAGATGCTCAATGCAGGAGCTGCCCCCTGGTGGTCAGTGCACTCCCACAGGGGTTGCTCTGCCAAGCCACAAGCCAGGCTGACGGCTGCCAGCACAGCGGTGATGGCAGGAGCCTCTCCCGCCTCCTCAGCAGTGCTAAGAATGTCTGACTGCAGCTTAGGCCTGGTCCCCACTGGCAAGTTAACATCCTCTGAGGGCTCCCGGGCTGCCAGAGGGATGTCTGACTGCCAGCATAGGCCCGATACCCCAGGGAGCGGGCCTAAGCCAGCATGTGGACATCCCCCCCGGGATGTCAGACTGGGAGCGGACACAGTCTATGCCCCCAGACTGCGAGAGGGCACAGGCCGGGCTGAGGGACCACCCCTGAGTGCACAAATTTTTGTGCACCGGGCCTCTAGTATTATTAATAACTAGAGGCCCAGTGCACGAAATCCATGCAGGTGGGGGGGGGTGTCCCTCAACCCGGCCTGCACCCTCTCCAATCTGGGACCCCTCAGGGGATGTTCGACTGCCGGTTTAGGCCTGCAGGGATCAGGCCTAAACCGGCAGTCGGACATCCCTCTCACAATCCAGGACTGATGGCCCCTAACGACTTGCCTGCCTGCCTGCCTGGTTACCCATAACCGCTTCTGCCTGCTGACCTGATAACCCCCTAACCGCTCCCTTGCCAGCCTGATTGACACCTAACTGCTCCCTTGCCAGCCCAATCGTCCCCAACTGCCCTCCCCTGCCGCGACCTGCCTCCTCCGCAAGGACCTGCTTCCTCCACACAAGGTGGCAGAGACGCCGGGACCGGCCTCCTCCGTGCCATGCAGAGCCGTGGGACCCCCAGGCCTCACCACATGGAGCAGCCACCAGACCCCGCCTCCACTGTGCGCGTGGCCATCTTGTGGCGGCCATCTTGTGACAACATTGTGCGAGGGCGTGGCACGACGCCACCTAGGCTTTTATTATATAGGATGTACTGGTAAATTCCTCACATTCTGAAAGGAATGGAGAGCAGGAAGATATCTACTAAAAGGGCAAGGAGAAAAATTTGAGGGCATAGAAGGCATATTTTAGTTGTGTTTGATAATGCTGATCGATTGACCTTATCATCATCCCCCTCAGCCAGGGGCTGACTAGCTTCCTAGGACTTTAAGGGAGTCAGAGACTTCAAGAACCATCTGGTGAACTTGGAGAAAGCCAAGGAAAGGGCAGAGAGCCAGCACTTAAAGTGATAGCAAACAGGAACCATGAAGGGAACTAGAGGAAAATGAATCATATGCACTAGAGGAGAAGAGACCAAAGCAAGAGGACCAAGTATTTTATACTATATCTCCACTGAGGCCAAAAGCTGATATAAGGAAGAACTTTCAGCAAGTGAAGGATGTGCAACTTGAGCATGGTGGAGGAAAGGGGTCATGTGGAATGTTCTTCCTCTGAGAGATCTAGCATTGCAGAGGAGACTTCTCTCTTATCTGGGCAAGAAATGGAAATGGCTGCACTCCTTCGGGAAGTGGCTGAATGAGATGAAGATGATTGGGTAGGGGACTGAGGTAGGAGTGGACTCAGCCTTCCTTGAGTTAGACAGAAAGCTGCTGATCTCTGGACCTTTCTGGTCATTGTTCCCCTTCCCTGACCCCTGTCTGGTGCCTCTCTGCTCTGGTCCTCTTACCACTTTCTGAAGGCTCATGACGGTCAATGAGTTCCAGAGCAAGGTCAGAAGCATGGTCTCCTTCTTTCTGCTCCTCTTGGAGGAAATCCACAAATTCCAACAGGGTCAGCTTCTGCCCATCAGCCGAAAAGTTTCCAAACAGTTCCAGCACCTCAACACGCTTAGTCAATGCCTTATAGAACTCTATAAATTCTTGTCCCTCCAGAGTGTCAGATTGGGATGTGTCTGCTGCCTGAAAGAGGGTTTAGAGGAGATTGGACAAACCCTTTAACAGCAACTTTTATGGCCTTGGCTTGTCATATAAGGACAGTCTTACTGACAGATGGATCCAAGTATGCTTCCACAGAATACATGATACTTGGTGTTCATAGAAGAAGTCACTTCAGTAAGAAGCAAAATTTCAGCCATACCATTTGCTACTAAAAAATTTTTTTAACTAGAAAGAATTGAAATCCCTAAAGGTAAAAATATCCCTTCTTCTATTTATTCATATTCCAGTTGGAGTTTTCTATTGTTCTAAGCACCTGTGAAAGTCTGGCCATGGACAGAGAGGTTCTTGGGGTCTGATGTAATAACATATTATTAGTTACCTTTTATAAGATTATAAATCATCTTTCCAACAAGACTGGAGAGTGAGAAGCATGGCCTACACTTCCCATTGAGCCTGGCATAGTGCTAAGGGCACGTAATAGAGTCAATAAATGAATGTTGTTCGAAAGGATCAGAGTACTTACAGTCAAGTGAGAATGTGGCCTTGTTTGGTTTCTGCAAATACTTTCCTAAAAGACTCACCTGGAAAAGCTGAAAGGCATGTTCTTGTTCCATTTCCACATTCATCAGGCGTAGTAACCGCTGCACTTCGTGGAAACTCATCCGGCCATCCTGGTTTTTGTCTCCACGCTGGAACCAGTCACTCAGCCATCCAGGTCCGAGTCAAGGCAAAAGTACTGTGTGTGTTTGTATGTGCAGATGTGTGTGCATGTTCATCCACTGACGTCTCTCCCTATCTTTGCTGCCTGTCTATCTCCCACACCAATTAATTTTCCACTTAGCTTCTAGAATACCCGCTCCCCAAAGTACCTATCTATCTTATCCCTGCATGGCTCAGATGCCAGCAGGTACCTCTTTTTTGCAGAAAGTACAGATTCCTTAACATAGAAGTTAAGATCTCCTGTGCCCCCATAATCTGGCCCCAACCCAGTCTTCTCAACACATCTCTGTCCTTTCTTCATTTTAGCCAGAACCCCAAGTTCCCACTCTGTGAGGTCCCAGCTCTCCAGCCTTCAATTTCCTATCTCTGGACCTTTACTCATGCTGTTCCTTCAGGCAGGGGTGTTTTTACCTCCTCTCTTAATGTTCAAATTATACTAATATCCAAGGCTTCGCTAAAATACTACTTCCTCCCTAAAGCTTTCTCAGAATCTTCTCAGCTAGAATTAAATATTTCTCCTTTCTTTGAACAGCCTCAAATAATCTAAGTACCATAACAGTTCCATGGTCCTTAGATTATTTACATAATCCCATCCTCTCCACTGAGGAAAACAATATTTTTGTACTCCTAAACAATATTTTGTACTCCATATAGTGCCTGATACATTCTGCTTAATAGCTGGTGAACGAATGGATGAATGAATGAAAGAACTAGCACAGAAGGTGAATACAATCTAGGAAACTTGAAGTGAGTTGATACCACTAAGTCTTTGAAGGGATTGCTTCCCACTCCTGTGGTAGTTAATGCCACTAGGATCTTCTGTTCAGCTCTCAGGATCAGCATCTTGTTTGGCCCTTGACCTCTTGCTGTCCCTTCCCCCAAACCTAGGAGGCCTGATGCATGCCCAAACTCTGCCTGGCTATGCTTTTTCCATCTCAAACCCCGATACCTCCTTCAGCAATCTCAGCCTCACATCGGTCTAAACTGCCCCTACCCACCCCATCTGGACTCTTGGGACTCCCTAGCCCTATACCGCCCCCCTCACCTGTCTCTAGCCCTGCAGCATCTGCCCCTTCAGTGACTCTGGCCCCCATTCTGACTCCATCCTGCCCGATACTGGTCCAGCCTCTCCTGTTGATCCATGTTGGTGACAAAGTCCACCAATAGCTGGAGCCCCTTCATCCAGATCTGGGCCTCTTCCACACTGTTGGCCACCAGGTCCAAGTTGGAGCGGCGGCCATGGAAGACGATGGTAAAGCCCTGCTCCAGGGGGAACTCCTCTGCCAGGCTGCGCAACAACTCAGATTCATGGCCATTACGCACTGTCTCCACGTCAGAGATCGAGACTGCCAGAGAAGAAGCAAGTGAGGAGACTGAGGAAGACAGTTCACCAAATTGCAGGAGCTAATGATCAAGGACCATTAATTACTCCCTTCTTCTCTGTGAAGCCATAGAGAGGAGGAACCCCAGCCTTTTGGGGCTAAAACCCCAAAAGCTTTAGTATAGGGAGATGCAGAGTCCTGGGGTTCAGGATTCCACATGAATCACTGCTGTGTTCATAGGCAGCATGGCAAGGGGCCTGTGCTGGGAATGGCAGGACTGGCTCCCAGCTTTCAGCTGGCAGTATGACACAGACAAAAGACCTTAATCCTCAGTGTCCTCATCTTCAATAAGGGATGGTCCCTTACATGGCCAGTGTACATGGTGATCACAAAAGGACTGGTGGGGCTGACAAATGGAAGCAGAGTTACAGGGTAGAAGCAGTTACACCAAAGCATAATATGCCCAATTTCAGTTCTTCTATTTCAGGTTTGAGAGCTTCCTCTTTCCAGATAGGAGGGAGCCAGAGAAATGCTCCCACCCTCTTTCCTCAGCTGGGAGTGGTGTGGAACATGAGCTTTGATATGTCTCTAAAGCAGACTCCCTTAGATGCGTCCTGTGATCAAATTTTTAGAGGGATCATAAAGTGTTCAGCCAATAGAATGTATACTTATGATGCATTTATGACATTTTAAAATATTCACCATAATGGCTCATGTTTATTAAATGCATCTGGTTTCAGGTCCCATGCTTTAAACATTAATTTATTGAGTCCCTATAACCTACTAGGCAGGTACTGTTTAACATCCATTTTACAGATGAGGAAACTAAAGCTTAGTTTAAGTAACTTGTCCAAAGCCACTCAGCTAGAAAGTGTCAGGGCTTTAATCCAGCCAGTCAGATGCCTGAGATCATGCTCTTATTATAATAAAAATAACAAGATATATAATGTATGATTTATTGAGCCTTTTTATGTTCCAGGACTCTTCTAAGCCCTTTACATGCAATAATTGATTTTATCCTAATAACAGCCTTAAGAGGCAAATACTGTTATAATTTTCATTTTATAGGCTCAGACATAGATACAAGTGGGACAGCATAAGGCAACATCATAGGACCCTGGTCCCTCTCCTGCTATCAGATGCTGTTCTCAGGATTCTATCCACCCATATGCCCACCCCTAGCTATCCATGTCACTTACAGCTGGCCTTGGCTCTGGCTCCGACCTGCCGGGCATGCCAGACGGTCATGCCATCTTCCTGAAGTCTGAAGTATCTTAGCTTCTTCCAGTTTTTGGATCTCACCTTGCGCATCATTGTACCTTTCTGCATCAGCAGCACATCTTGACTGATGGGCAGCCCTGGGCCAGGAGAAGCAGGGGCTGGATAGCCAACCAGGGATGTGGAGGGCCCAGGAGGAGCTCTTGAATAGGGGTTCAGTATCCTCCCCGTCCCTGGGCTGTCTCCCCAAGCCCTCTTCTGCAGGGGTACTCACGGCCTTGCAGCAGGGATGCCATCACCCACTGCTCCACCAGCTGGCGCCAGAGTCACCTAAAGGAGTAAGGAGGAGCAAAAGACTGGTTAATCTTGGTGATTTTAGAATAACAGAACAGGGAGGAAGAGAAGGAAACCAATGTTTCCTGACTGCCCACTATGTGTCAGGCATTCCATCTATATAGTTTGTAGCTCTTTTTACTTCTAATTTGAATTTGGTAACTACAAGGCTTAGAAAGGCTAAGAAACCTGCCTCAAATCACATAGGGATTCAGAATTGAAGCCAAGTATGTCTGATTCTAGAACCTTTGCTGCTTCCCATAGTCATCTCCAGAGAGGGCTAAACCAGGTCTTTCTGCCAAATACTTCTCTCTTTCCCAATAACCCATATTCCACAAGATAACCTCATGTCACACTGCTCAGCTCCTCATTATTAAAAACCACTATCTTGCCCTGACCGGTTTGGCTCAGTGGATAGAGCATCGGCCTGCAGACTCAAGGGTCCCAGGTTCGATTCTGGTCAAGGGCATGTACCTTAGTTACGGGCACATCCCCAGTCGGGGGTACGCAGGGGGCAGCTGATCGATGTTTCTCTCTCATCAATGTTTCTAACTCTCTATCCCTCTCCCTTCCTCTCTGTAAAAAATCAATAAAATATATTAAAAAACAAAAAAAAACAAAAAACCACTATCTTGCTGGCAGCCCTTGCAGAATCTGGAATCTCTACATCCCAGTCTTCTCTTCTCCAGATAAAATCATCTTAATCATCCTAACTTCCCTTTCTGGAAGCCCTCTCCATGCTCCCATGTAGACCATCCAGCTTTGAAGTCTTTATTTTTAATTTATTTTATTTTTAAAAATTTTTTTGTTAATCCTCCCTGAGGATATCTTTCCATTGATTTTTAGAGAGAGTGGGAGGAAGAGAGAGAGAAGGAGAGAAACACTGGTTGCCTCCTGCATGGAGCCGTGGGGCCGGGGATTGAGCCTGCAACTGAGGTATGTGCCCTTGATCGGAATTGAACCTGGGACCCTTTGTTACACAGGCCCATACTCTACCCACTAAGCCAAACTGGCTAGGGCTTTTTCTTTTCTTTATTTTTTTAAAATTGATTTTTAGAGAGGGAGAGGAAAGGAGAGAGAGAGGTTTATTGTTCCAGTTATTTGTGCATTCATTGGTTGATTCTCTTTTAAAAAAAAATATTTTATTGATTTTTTACAGAGAGGAAGGGAGAGGGACAGAGGGTTAGAAACATCGATGAGAGAGAAACATCGATCAGCTGCCTCCCGCACACCTCCTACTGGGGATGTGCCTGTAACCAAGGTAGATGCTCTTGACTGGAATCGAACCTGGGACCTTTCAGTCTTCAGGCCAATGCTCTAACCACTGAGCAAAACCGGTTAGGGAGCATTGGTTGATTCTTTTATGTCCCCTGACCAGAGATTGAACCCAGAACCTTGGCATATCGGGACATTACTCTAATCAACTGGGCTATTTGGCCAGGGCTCCTGAAGTGTTTCCTTTGTCTCGTGTACAACACTTCATGTTGTACATAACTAAATAAGCCATCTTCTTCACTTCACATGGTAAAGCATATTTTATACTCCTTTTCATAACAGTTATTCTGAGAGTTTTAATGGACCATATAAATTACAAAGTCTCAGAATTGCATTTTTTTTAATTAAATATATTTTATTGATTTTTTACAGAGAGGAAGGGAGAGGGATAGAGAGTTAGAAACATTGATGAGAGAGGAACATTGATCAGCTGCCTCCTGCACACTCCCCACTGGGGATGTGCCTGCAACCAAGGTACATGCCCTTGACCAGAATCGAACCTGGGACCCTTGAGTCCGCAGGCCGACGCTCTATCCGTTGAGCCAAACTGGTCAGGGCAGAATTGCATTTTTAAGTTTTCTCTACCTACTAAAAAAAGAGTGCCTCCTTTATGATATATGCTAATTCAGGACCTGGTTCATTTGTCCTAGTAAGTAACAACAAACTTCCCTTGAAAAGGACTAGAAGATTTTATATATGGCCACTTGATTCTAGCTTTGCCCCTATAAGAAATGCTCAATTCTTTTTTTTTTTTTTAATATACTTTATTGATTTTACAGAGAGGAAGGGAGAGGGATAGAGAGTTAGAAACATCGATGGGAGCGAAACATTGATCAGCTGCCTCCTGCACACCTCCTACTGGGGATGTGCCCGCAACCAAGGTACATGCCCTTGACCGGAATCGAACCTGGGACCTTTCAGTCCGCAGGCCGATGCTCTATCCACTGAGCCAAACCGGTTAGGGCGGAAATGCTCAATTCTTGACCAAATCATTCTGAAACTGGCAAAGCCCATGAAACATAAACCTCTATGCTTTTGTATAAGAAAAGTATCTACACTTGAATAGAAATGTTGTGCTTTTTAATTAATAAGTTTAAAATGTTGACATTGGTGAACGTCTAAAAAACTAAAAGAATCTCTGAAACAATCATTTGATTAATGCTCTATGAAAACATCATGCAGCCCTGACCGGTGTGGCTCACTTAGTTGAGCATTGCTCCATGCACCGAAGGGTGGCCTATTGAATTCCCAGTCTGAGCATGTGCCCAGGTTGTGGGTTTGGTCTCTGGTCAGGGTGCATGCAGAAGGCAACTGATGTTTCTCTCTCACATCAATGTTTTTCTCTCTCTCTCCCTCTCTCTTCCTCTCTTTCTAAAAAAAAAAAAATCAATAAAAACATATTTTTAAAAAAACATCATGCAGCTCAACTCTCTATATCTTACAAACGAAAAAGCAGAAGTCTAGAAATGTGATGTGACTTGTCTGAGGCCACAAAGCTTATTAGTACCCTATGTCTCCAGTGGGAAGAGACTATAAAGTCACCTGGGGATAACTAAGTCTTTGGAAAGAAGGTAGAGGTGGCTGAAAATACAGCTTCCCTGACTGGAGCACCTAGAAAAGGCTTTCTAAGTGAGTAGCAATGTGTAGGTGTCAGAGGGAATAGAGAAAGTTGGTAATCAGTCTGTACCTAAGTGGGAAAGAGAACTCAAGGCTTCTCTCAAGAGAGAAAGATCCCTGCAATGGTTCCAAAAAAAGAAAAGGTTTTGCTGGCTGAGAATGAATAGGAGAGCCTGGGTGAGAAACCCCTGAACGGAAGAAGGGCTGCAGAGTGCTTCCTGGGAGAGAGAAGCGCATCTCTACTTTTCTGGGTGGAGATACACAGCTTGGAACCTGAGGCTTGCAAAAGCTATATTAAGACTGAAGTAGAAAGTAACAAACAGGTCCCTCTTAAATATCTCAGGTCCTCAGACTCTGGGGTGGGGTGGGGATGGGGGTCAGCCTGGAGCTGAAATTGAAACCCCCTTGCCAACATCCTATAACATCTTCTCTCAGAACTTCAGCTCCCACGTCTGGGGTATAGGGACTCTGGGATGGGGTGGACCTTGGCCCTGGGAGAAGGCAGAATTACCTGATCTTACGCCTGGGTCCAGGAGCCACAGAATAATGTCCTAAAACATGGGAAGCCTGAAAACAGAGCCCAAGTACCAGGATGCCCCTATTTTGGAGCTTCTCAGAGCAGCTTTAGAAAGTTCTTTTATCCTCTTTTGTCAAACACTTCCAACCCCAGATCTTGGCATGCTCTTCAAATCCTGCTCCCATTCCTGAATCACTATTTCAAATCTGTATCTAGGTGACATGTGGCCATGCATAAGATGGCCAGTTTCAACACAAGGAGCTACAGAATGTCAGAGCTGGACTTCATTTTATAGAGAAAAGGAGTTAGCACTAGAAAAATTAGCTCAACTGCCAGAGTCACCTAAAATTAAGTGGCAGAACTAGGATAACAACCAAGACCTCCACATGACCAGCTCAGAGATTTCACCAAGACTCTGCCCTTAGAAAGGGCTTTCACTAGGAAGCAGGTTAAAGCAGGGCTAAGAATCAATGAAGAATATCAAAAAGTTTTGTCTCTCCCTTCCATCATTTCTGTTTCCTCCATATCCCACAAAACAGCTTTTCTTTCTTATTTTCTCTCTTTTCCCCATCCTCTACCTGACCCATACCTTTTCTTTTCCCCCCAACTCACTCTTTTCTCTCCTGTCCTATCTACCTCTCTACTTGCTCACTTGTCAGCTTCTCTTTGTTCTCTTGTCATCCTTCTCCCCATCATTTCATCCTCTCTCTTTTCTGGTTCTCAACCCATGAGGATTTTGAAACTGTGGTCCAATAGTACATCCTTCCTCTACTCAACCTCACTTTCCCCGGTATCCCAGGAGACTAACTAAACAAACTGCCCAGAGAATGCAACTTAGAACCCAAGTGTTCTAGGTCTCGGTGTTTCCTCTGGTGTCTGAAGGTAAATTGGGAAGGATGCTCACAGCTGGTGCAAGTGTGGTTAGAAAAGACACAAAAGATTTGGGAGTAGGAACAAGAGGCTGGGAGCAGAGGATGAAGACTGTGAGTAAGAGAGACTGGTCTTAACTGTTCCCTCGTGGACACACATGTGGAGATCCTCAAGGGTACAAATAATTTCCTCTATAATACAGATGAGAAAACAGAGGGGAAAAAAATGAGGTGGGAAGTGGCCAGGTCTTCCAAGCAAGATTGGGTCTTCAACTTCCAGGTAACTTATGGGAGACATGGCAGAATTGTCAACGGCATTACAGTGGGATCCAGGGTGTCTCCGGTCTCCCTGAGGAACAGGAAGGAAGAGAACCATTCTGTCTACTCTTTTTTTCTAAGTTGTTACATTTTGTCTACTCTTTTGCTACTGAGCAGGATTATGTCTGGTTCATGTAGAGAGGACAGAATGCCCCTAGACATAGGTCCTAGCCCTCAGAATGTCAGAGTTTGAAGACTTTTTATAACATATAATCCAGAGGTTCTTGGCTACATCAATATTCCCTGGAGAGGGAATATTATAACAGAGATTCCTTAGCCCACAATCTACCAGATCAGAAATTCCAAGAATAGGGCTTAGGTAGATTTATTTTTATCAAGCACTTCTGACACACAGGCAAGTCTGGGAAACCCTAAACTCCCTCTTATCACAGATCAGGAAGTTGGGGACCAAAGTCACCTACCTGATTGATGGCAGTCAGGGCTAGAAGCAAGTTCTCTTCCCAGAACAGCACTTGGGCATGCCAACAAACGGTCTTGGTCCAGTGAGCAGGCGAAGAACGAGGTATAGAATTCAAACCCTGGCTCTTTCCAAGGAAGTCTCATAACTCTCTATTACCAGGGGTTCCTATACTCCACCTGGGCCATGGCCAACCCTCATTTGATAATCCTCAACAATCCATTAATGAATCCATGCTAAAGCACAGTTATTACAATTCTCTCTCTCCTTACTATGATGGGGCTACCTCTAAGTGGCAGCTCTGGGTGGCTAAGAAGTCCCATATAAAGAGGTGATTGACCCAAGCCAGCAGGAAAACTGTAAGTCAAAGAGGATAAGCTAGAGAGAACCAGAAGGCCAGAGCCTTGTTCTGGCAAAGGAGTCCAGGGTGATATATATATTATCCTCGCCTGAGGATATGTTTATTGATTTTAGAGAAAGAGGAAAGGGGAGAGAAACATCGATGTGAGAAACATCAGTCAGTTGCCTCCCGTATGCGCCCCGACTGGGGATCAAACCCACAACCGAGGCAGATGCCTGGACTGGGAATCGAACCCACACTTTTTGTGTACTTGTGTACGGGGTAATTCTCCAACCAACTGAGCCACCCGGCCAGGGTGAGACTGCAATTTAATAAAGGCATGTAGAAGGCAGACCTAGGGACTCAGGCAGGACAGAACATGGAAGAGAGGCTGGTCAGAGCCTCCAGGCCCTTACCGTGTGCAGGATAGCAGTCCTGTGTCTGTGAGCTCTGCAGTGCTTGCTCTCCACTGTGGGATGAGGAAACCCAGCCGGCACCTTTTCTCCTTTTCTCCTTTGCTCTTCTTGCACTCGCTGGCTTTCTCCCCTCCTCTACTGCAGTTTGCTGCTGTGACTGGCAGAGTTACAGCCAGAAGGAAGGAGTGGGGTGGGGGGAAGTGTGAGCTATCTTCAGTCCAGCCCACCCAACTCTTAAAGGCCCAGGACACTGGTCAGTGAGGGAGTCGTGGGGATAGAGTGGGTAGAAAAGGATTAAGGGGAGGGATTGGAGCACCACATCTCCAGGGAGGAGGAGCCTGACTGCCCTTCATCTTGGTGCCAGCCCTCGCTGACCCCAATCCAGACTCAGCTCTCAAAGTGAAATCCAAGGAGTGTCTGAGTTGCAGTGCTCCATGAATCACGGCTTTTCATTCTGGTTGGTTTCTCTGCATGTTATACAGCTGTCTTTGCCCTTATTTCCTCTGGCTTCTTTCCATGGTGTCTGTTTCCACCAGCCTGCCTGCTTCTGTATGTCTGCATGCTGCCTTGCAGGGCACTCAGTCTAGCTTCGCGGTGCAGTGAAAGAAAAAAAGGAGTAAGATGGAAAAGGAAGATGAGGAGAAAGGGAGGAGAGGAATGATCTTTAGAGTGTAGGGAGACAGGTTTGTATCTTTGTATATATAATAGGCACTCGCTAAATACTTAAGGAATGTATACAGGAATTCATTTGTTCTTCCTTTACATTCATTCATTCTATGAGCATTTTCTCAGCACCTCCAATGTGCAAGAACATACATGTATGTTTATAAAGATGTGTGTGAAGCACACTCACCGTGTGTAAGAATCAAGGGCAAAAAGAGAAGCACAAGACTGGAAAGACCCAGCTGGGAAAAGAAGATAATGAGCTTCTTATATAAGGGTGAATGAATAGGCAGCTGAAACAGACACCAAGATTGAGGAAAGAGGACTAAGTTAGGAGAGGAATGGGTGATTGTAAAGGGCTTTATTGTGGCCCCATACTTCACAGTGAGAAACTGAGGCCCAGGGAAGTTTAGGCAATGTCCTGGACTCATATATCATTAGCAAAGACAACTAGTCCCTTGCACTCTCCCAAGCACTGTGAGCTGGGACCTACTTTTGCTCTGCCTTGGAAAGACTGCAGTGTATGGCTCTTTCTGGACCAGTAGATGACAGTAAAATAGCTGAGGGCATAGGGCACAGCCTGGTACTTGCTTGGACTTCTGTGGGATCCTTTTCCAGTGAGGTCTGTCTTAATTATGGGCACAGAGTGAACTAACTGTATAAAATGATGTGATTTTAAGTGTGCTGAGATCTGGCTGTCTCTGATGGCTCCCCCACATACCTCTCAACCGCCTAATATTCTACTATTAGTGATTATTTATAGCTAAACTTTAGTCCCATTAAAATAAAATCCTTCTAAGTGATTACCATAAATGTCAGGATAGTGGTTACTTTTGGGAGGAGGTAGGAGTTGTGATGGAAAAGGCAGAGATATGGCTTCTGAAACAGCTGGCCAAGTTCTATTTCCAGTTCTGGGTGCTAAAAGGGGTCTTCACTTTATAATAAACGAGAGGCCCGGTGCACAAATATTTGTGCACTGGCAGGGGAGGGGGGGTGTCCCTCAGCCCCACTTGTGCCCTCTCACAGTCTGGGACCCCTTGGGAGATAACCACCTGCTGGCTTAGGCTTGCTCCCTGGGTGGCAGATGGCAGGCCCGATCCCTCGGTGCCTACTCCGCCTCCCCAGGTCGTGCACATGGCAGGGCTGATCCAGGGGTTGGGGTGCTACCCCGGGTTGGGTCGCACACGGGACACCCCGGGGGGGTCGCACACGGGATGCCTGGATGGAGGCCGGGCAGGCTGGCCAATTGCTGCTGCACCCCCCCGGCCCGGGGTCGGGTCGCACATGGACGCCTGCCGCCCTGGGTCGCAGATAGCAGGTCCGGATGGCGGCAGGGCAGGCAGGATGGCGCTGTCCCACCCTTATGCCCCGGGCCGCAAATAGCAGGCCCAGATGGCGGCAGGGCAGGTGGGGTGGCGCTGTCCCACCCTGCCTGCAGTATGCAAATTAGCCACCATCTTTGTTGGAGGCTAATTTGCATATTGCGCTGATTAGCCAATGGGAGGCGTAGTGAAGGTACGGTCAATTACCATGTTTGTCTATTATTAGATAGGATTATTAAGCTATATGTTTTCTTTATGTAGTTTGCTATATCTGTGTTATATTTTATAATAAGAAGGTTTCAAATTTTTGCACCTGATAATTTCTAAAGCCTTACTGGTTTTTCACAATTTATACCTAGGTTATGTTTACCATCCTTTAGTGAGAGCCGGTTTTGATAAAGGAAGAGGAGTGTACAGAGAGGGGAGACAGAATGAGGCCATTATTGGGAACAGGAAGATTATGGGAGTATCAATATTTAAACTGTGCTGATCTCAGATTTTAATTAATAGAGGCCATGTCCCGCATGCTTGTTGCACTCTCCCATTTCTACTTCCTCAACATCATCATGTCCTTATTTTTCTATGCTTCCCCTTCACATTCCCACTCCTCCAGGATTATATATGGTTTGCCTCTTCCTAAGTGATTATTGGCTTCACCTTATTTCTGCCCAACTTTCTTCTCTTCAGGGTGTTTTATGAGGAGTACTCTCATTCAATCTGGATTTTCTGGGAGAGTCCAGATCTCAAATATTCTCTTTCAGTGTCCTCATAAACAGTGCTCCCAGATCATATGTTCTGATTTTGGGGGCAGGCACTTGGAGACCTTCAAAGGTTAGAATAGCTTCAAAGAGTGGCTTAGAAAACATGCTCATTGCAGGATGCTCTTTAGATTAGGGAGCAGATAGATGGCTCCCGGCACAAGAACTGTCCACCTGGTTTGGTTATTCCTATTCCCATAATGATCCTGGCCCTTCCTCCACTGTTGGCTATTATTAACAGATCCAGAAACCTGATCACAGCAGTAGCAGCACAGAGACTTTCTGGGAACCATGCCCAGGAAAGGACCAGAAGCCCTAAATTGAAGTGAAGGTTCAGCTGGCAGAGGAAGACCTAAACTCTACACTCTCACACTGCCATCCAGACAAGCCTAGACCCTCCTCCTGACATGGAGTGACACCCTAAACATTTTTTCTTTTGGGAACAGTCAGGCTAGGGAGTCAGATACCAGTTTCCCAGCTCATCCAGCCAAACTACTCACACTTCTGAAGTAAAACCCATCTTCTTGATGGTCCAAAAAGTAACACAAAATATTAAATTTCACTTAAAAAAATCATCAGTGAGAGTACATGTAGAATTAAAAGAATATATAACTTCAAAAGGCCAGAGAATATATAGCCATCCCTTCATTCCAACAAAATTAAAAATAAACAAGAACACCCAGGGGAGGAGGAACAGGGAGGCATAAAATAAATGAGAGACTGAAATGATAGAAGCTAGAGTAAAAAAATACAAATAGTATATTCCATAAGAAACCTTTCAGAAAAGGTCATATAACAAAATACAAGTGTGTGCTATTAAGACTCGTATCTACAAAAAGGTATTACTAAAAAGTTGAAATTTAAAGGACCACATCTGGGGATGGGAGGACTCCAATTTTCTTACTCAAGATTGCTTGGCTGTTTTGGCACTCTGCATTTCCATACAAATTTTAGAATCAGCTTGTCAGTTTTCACAAAAATAAATCTGCTGGGAATTTAGTTAGAAGTGAGTTTAATCAGATCAATTTGAGAAAATTGGCTTTTTACACTATTGTTTTCCAATTCATGAAGATATATGTATCTCTCTATTAATGTAGGTTTCATTTAAGAACGTTCCATTGTTTTCAATGTAAAAGTTCTGCATGTCTTTTGATATATTTCTAGCACTTTGATTTCTTGTGCTATTATAAATGGTATTTTGAAACTTTATTTTCTATTGTATTTAGAAAGAGTTGATATTTTTGTATATTGACTTTGCTGCAAAATTCACTTAATTCTAATGGCTTGTAGCTTCTTTTAGATTTGTGTATATAATCATGTTGTCAGCATTTTTTCCTCCTTTGTGGTTTTATCACACTGGCCATAACCAGTATAACAAGTGGAGGTGTGTTATGAACATCTTTATCTTGTCCCTCATCTCATGGAGAATGATTTCAATACTTTATCAATAATGATTTCAATATGAGAGGTTTATGGTAGGGTTTTTGGGATACTTAAAACTATATATATATATATATATATATATTTTAATATATTTTATTGATTTTTTACAGAGAGGAAAGGAGAGAGATAGAAACTTCGATGAAAGAGAACCATCGATCAGTCGCCTCCTGCACATCCCCCACCGGGGATGTGCCCGCAACCCAGGTACATGCCCTTGACCGGAATCGAACCTGGGACCTTTCAGTCCGCAGGCCGACGCTCTATCCATTGAGCCAAACCAGTTTTGGCAAAACTATATATTTTTTTATTCATTTCAGAGAGGAAGAAAGATAGAAACATCAATGATGAGAATCATTGATTGGCTGCCTCCTGCATGCCCCCTACTGGGAATCAAGCCTGCAACTTGGGCATGTGCCCTCACCTGGAATATAACAGTGACCTCTTGGTTCATAGGCTGACACTCAACCACTGAGCCACACTGGCCAGGCTATCATCTTTATATAATGCTAGATTTGATTTGTCTAGAAATTTTGTCTATATTCATGGGATTTTGGCCCTTTTCTTAATATCCTTGATAGGTTTTGGTGGCTGAGTTAATACTACTTTAAAAGTGAATTGGATGTTCCCTTTTTTCTAGTCTCTGGCAGTTAATGAGATTGGTGACTGTAAAATATGAAAATGTCCCTTTTTCTATTTCTAACATTGTTGATGTTATTTTTTCCTGATTAGTCTACTAAGGGTTTATCAATTTTATTATTTTCAAGGGAATGATATTTGGCTTTGTTGATTTTCTTTATTGAACATTAGTTTTCTAATTTACTGATGTGCTTTTTTGGGTATCTTTCTGTTCTTTGAATTTGCTATTCCTTTCCAGTTTCTTGACATGAAAACCTAGACCACTGACTTCAGCCTTTCTCTTATAACGTGTGAATTTAAAGTCATGTATCTCTTTTAGCCAAACCGGTTTGGCTCAGTGGATAGAGCGTCAGCCTGTGGACTGAAGGGTCCCGGGTTCGATTCCGGTCAAGGGCATGTACCTTGGTTGCGGGCACATCCCCAGTGGGGAGCGTGCAGGAGGCAGCTGATCGATCTCTCTCATCGATGTTTCTGGCTCTCTATCCCTCTCCCTTCTTCTCTGTAAAAAAATCAATAAAATATTTTTTAAAAAGATTAAAAAAAAATAAAATAAAGTCATGTATCTCTTTTAAGTTCTGCTTTACCTGTATGCCACAAGTTTTGATATGGCATATCTTCATTATCATCTAATTACAATTTTTTCCTAATTTCCTTTTGTGATTTCTTCTCTGACCCAGGGGTTATTTAGAATTGTATTACTGGTTTTTAATTTATTATTTAAGTTTTCAAAAAAATATATTTTATTGATTTTTTACAGAGAGGGAGAGGGATAGTTAGAAACAGCCATGAGAGAGAAACATCCATCAGCTGCCTCCTGCACACACCTACTGGGGATGTGCCCACAACCAAGGTACATGCCCTTGACCGGAATTGAACCTGGGACTCTTCAGTCCACAGGCCGATACTCTAGCCACTGAGCCAAACTAGTCAGGACTATTATTTAAGTTTTTAACAATTGAATTTAATGGGGGTGACATTGGTTAATGAAGTTATATAGGTTTCAGGTGTATAATTCTGTAATACATCATCTGTATATTGTATTGTGTTCACCACCCAAATCTCTATCACCATTTATTCCCTGTATACCCTCTCCCCATCCGCCCTTCCCCTCTGGTATAAATTTTAATTTTTCAAATTATAGTTTATATTTAACACTAGGGGCCCCGTGCATGAAATTCATGCATGGGTCGGGTCCCTAGGCCTGGCTGGCGATCAGGGCTGATCTGTGGGGGACCAGTGGAGCAATTGGGGGCCCCCTGCCTTGGCTGGCCTGGGGCCTGTGGGCAGCTTTCGCTGAGCATCTGCCCCCTGGTGGTCAGTGCATGTCATAGTGACTGTTCTGCCATTTGGTCAATTTGCATATTAGGCTTTTATTATATAAGATTATTCTGTGCTAGTTCCAGATGTACAGCAAAGTGATTAGAAAAGCATGTAATTTATAGAGTGCTCCCCTGCTGCTTCAAGTACCTACCGGGCCCCATACCTATTTATCATATTACTGACTATATCTCCTATGCTGTAATCTACAACTCTGTGGCTATTCTGTAACTACCAATTTGTACTGCTTAATCCCCTTCACCTATTTCACCCAGGCCCCAAACCCACACCCCTGACAATTGTGTCTGTTCTCTGTATCTGAGTCTGTTTCTAGTTTATTTTGTTCATTAGATTCTACATACAAGTGAAACCATATGGTATTTGTCTTTCTCTGATTTATTTTGTACTACCCGATCTTAAACAGTTCAGTTTTCTTTTTCCTAGCTTAATCGCATGTATTCATTTCTGAGAACATTCTATTAATTAAAAATAATTTTTTTGAGACTTGCTTGATGGTCTAATTATGATCAATTTTGGTAAAATACTTCGTCTAATTAAAAACTATGCATACTGTTGGTTTGGAGGATAGCATTCTATTTGTCAGTTAAAGTAGGTTTCTTGTGTTGTTCAACTTATGCTATATTTGCTTTTGAAATATATTAAAATATTTTTTAAAATTAATCTACAACTCAGGAAAGAAATCTCATTTCATACTATGGTTTCCTATTCCACTTGTTTTTCTTACGTTTTTGATAGCAATAATTTTGTATATCTCCTCTTTCCCAGACACTGAGTAGCAGGAAT